GGGCACGATGAAACTGTAGTTGTATGATATTAGTTGTTTATCGTAGACTTTTCCTTGTATTTAACGGAGCTCAAAATTTCTCTTGTAATTAGTAGGTTCGAGATAATCGCTCCTGATTCCCCCTCCCACTCCCTCGATCCTCACTATCGGTCCTCTATCCCGCTTGTTCCCCTATCCTTTTATCCCTGGTTTTCTTTACCTCATATGTTTATGTATAAAAATCCATGGCTGGTCACATTCTTTAGCTCACAGAGAGAGAGAGAAAGAAGCGATTATGTTCAATACGAGAGGTAATCTAAAAAAAGAAAAAAAAGAAGAAAAAACTAAGTAATCATTAGAAGAATTTTTCTAATCATCTTTAACGAGTCTTGTGTGAGATGTATATTTCAGTAGTATATACTTGTATGTACAGATGACATTGAACATGAATACGTTGGTAAAGTTATTATATTATGTATTTCCGTAAGCGATGAACGAAAAAAGGAAGAAAAATAACAAAGAGCAGCTCTCAGGCGATGACATGTTTAGGCCGCGTTTGCAATTACGATCATAAGCTTCACACGAATTACCTACCACTCTGTCTTGTTGTTAACGGAGAAAATATGATTATTGTAAAGCCCTAATCGAATTGTACATAAGAAAAACCCGTTTGATTAAATATGTCGACGAGAAGTGTCATTGCACGAGACATACATAAACAAACACTACACACACACATACATACATACACAGAATCCAGTACTTGCAGGCGCCCGGCGATCTGTAACATCGTTCCTTCCTGCCTGTGTTTCATTTATATGTGTCTTTCTTTATCATGCGAACACGAGATGTATATTTTTTTTTTTTATGTTCGTATATAGTATAAATTTATATTCGAAACCTTTCTCCTTATTCCACCCGTGAACTATCCTTGGTTTTCACATAATTGGCTTGAGTCAAGGGATCTAGCATGACCAGTGACAAGCTCTGTATGAAGAATGCATTGTTACAGATGTAAAAATATTTCTGTATTTCAAATGTTTGCCGCTTAAAATTGAATTTTTTATCTCTACTCAACGTAAGAGAACGAGTATACACTGTAAGTTTAAAGCGTAGATCTAATTGGCGCTAAAAATTTCAGTTCAAACAGCGTTCGCATCTTGAATAACGTGTTCTTGACATATAAATGCGTCTCATGTTAAGGTTATGCAAGCGTTCATTAAGCATTGGTGCATCAAATGAACTGACGAAGTTAAATAGAAAAACATATGCAATTTTTTTTCTATTTTACTTTCAATTATCCTTTCGTTTGATTCGATACTTTGTACAAAAGTATACTTGTATGATTTCAATTGTGATGCTTTTTTAAATTAGGAATTATTTCGTGATGATATATTTAAGTTACAGAAATATGCTCAAAGTATACGATGTCCAGCAATGAAATAATTACACGATACATCTGCGTGTACCTATTTAGGGGAATTCTAACGAGAAGTTTTACATTTGCAATTTGTTTTTATTTAGGGAAATGCTACGTATTATACATTATATAAGGAACGAACATTCCTGACTTAGAACTGATGCGACAAAGAAAATTCGTATATAGTGTGTGTGTGTGTGTGTGTGCGCGAACATTCCTGACTTAGAACTGATGCGACAAAGAAAATTCGTATATAGTGTGTGTGTGTGTGTGCGTGTGTGTGTGTATACACACATATTTAAGTCGGTTACATGATTTCGATAACCTATTTTCTTAATTGTACGTCGACACTCAACCGTTTAAATGCGAGGAGTCGTGAAAAAAAAATGGCGGGATCGAGTTTCACTACGACTTAAGTCAAGATCAAGTCCTTTGTTTCGTAGTTAAGTTTCAGTGACATCTTTGCATCAATTTTACTTGGTTTTTGTACATATATATACATGTAACGAAGTATATCTTGATACTTTCGATCTCTGAACCACGAAATAATCATACGAACAAATGAACGGCGTGCTTGTAATTAATCGATCGATCGAAGACGATCTTAGACGCAATCGCCCAGTCATGGATTTGTTTAATGGTGATTTACGTTTCGAAACGACTACGGGGTTCACAAATACGACAAATTCCACCAATTTTACACGCGTCTGTGTGTTTATCATCACGGAAGTGTGAATCATGTTGTTCATCTGATTAGAATTAAATTCGAATGACACGTATATACATATATATACACGCGCGCGCGGATGCATATATACATATTGAGAAAGAGAGATGTGTGTGTGTGACGACACACGATTGTTAGATTATTATGTTGCGGTGTCCTGATCGAATGGCGATCGTGACGTATTATAACGAGACGCGTTTGTTACAACGCTACAGAGATCTATTCCGGTAAATCGATCCTTTGTCTGTCTCTATCGTTGCTTTTTCGCCTCCGTGTATAGATTTAATGTAGGAATTCAACTATAGGAATCTATGTGTGCAATCGACCGCTCGAATCGAGCCTGAACCAGTCAGCACCGATGTAACCGTAAACTATGAAGTTATCCGATGTTACTGTTGCTCACAAACTTCATCCCGAAAGCTGCTTCGATCAGTATTGATGTATCGAGCGTGGAAAAAGTAATCGACGCGGTTTTTCACAAGTGAATTTACAACTTAGAATCGACTGAAACCCATGTCCATTACCTTTTTTACACTCTGTACAGTGTACTCCTCATTGTCAGTGTAGATCTCATATCCCACTGTTTGTAATTTTCATGTACTAGTTCTATTTATTTGTGGCTATAGTGTGCAAGAAGTGGTAGCATAGATAGACTTCGCTGGCTCAACGAATTGTTTTCGCAAAAATTGAAATTTATCTTTCTAGGAATTTTCGAACAGAATGTTGAAATTTTTCGGTATCAAAAGTTATAAAAAATCGTCAATGTTGTTTTCTCCTAGTTATGTGAAATGTATAAAAAGATTGTTATTGACTTCTGAATATACATATACCACACATCAAAACAAACAGAATAAAAAATTCTTAAAAAATATGGACCTTGAAGTCATTCAAAGCAATGTTATAAACATAAGAAATTGTGGAAATTAACTTGAGAAAGTTAGGTAATAATCCACTGATAATATCTTTTTGTAATAGAATTACTGATTTTTCGATCTGTATTTGTTAAGAATGTGAAGAAATATAATACACACTTTTTGTACACATTATGTACATATATCGAGAAATTTAAAGTTACATATATTTATAAAAAAATGTTTAGTTTCTTTGGTTTTATTTCTTAATCGAAATGTTTGAAGAGAAATAGTAGATTATAAATTCTCATTCGCTGAGCCTTTGAATGTGTAGTTCCTCGTCCGTCTCTGTCTAGCTTAGGGCAAACTTATCTTCCGTTATGCGCGGCACAAAGCATGAGTACACGGGGCGTTCATATATCTACAATGTTTAGTTCAATGACAAATCAATCGATCGATAGTAGAATATTTTTTAAACGACATTTCTATATTCAATCTTCACGTGAGGAAAGCTCTGAAATTGTCGAGTTACTTTAATTCGATTACGTTCAATTTTTCTTCCATTGTTGATAATAGTACGATTCATATACTAAATCAGCTTTTTCTGCGCGACAGTTTTTTTTGTATCGTTTAGCTCTACGTACATGTACGTTTGTAAAACGCTATTGATTTATATTATTAAACTACACACACACACACACACACACAAAATCTCGTACAAAATGGGCTCTCTCGATTATTCGATTTGCTTTCACAATTAATGTCGCCCGCGCCTGAGCCGAACCAAAGCTTCGTTTCATTGTCAAGTATTTGTTTATCGAATAATCGATCGAATGTTAAATAATAAATTATTCAGTATTCATTCCTTCAGGGAAGTGAAATCACTTGACAATATAAGCTTAGCTCGAACTACAATTTGTACAATTTTGGAATTATTGGAAAACTATAGAAAGTCGTATCGAGTTATTAGAGAAAAAAAATTTCTTCTATTTTTCACTTCGTCCACTTTAGAAAAAAAAAACATAAAAAAAAGAATAAAAAGCACTGGCCGCTTAAAAAAAAGTACAACGAACGATGCAAACAAGTTTCCATTTAAAAATTGTTCGAATTGTCGTTCGAATAACAAATTTTATTAGTTAATTAAAACTCTGGAGCGCGCGACAATTCGAACGTCTTTTCGAGCTCTTCGTCTAGATTAAATTTCCTTTTTGTAGTCTTCGTAGGCTTAGTTGTTCGAAGCTTTTAAGCATCGTGCCAAAGCAAACAAACCAAAAGAAAAAAGAGAAAAAAAAGTAACAGTAATTCTTCTTCGATTTGAAAGTATGGAAATTTCCACGGGGTCCACACTGAGTCAATGCAGGAACAAATTATACGACTGTGTAGTGAGCGTTGTGAATCTGCCCTGACAGTGTTCCGTGAATCGTTGTGTTCGCGACCTATCTTTACGCCTAACTTCAAGAACGTCCTGGAACACGTGGTTCCGCGTTACGCTGTTTTCAGTAGCGTTAGAACTGATTCGATTCTCGTTTTTGGACACTTTTTATGGGTGCCAGCCCTGACAGTTCTTCGACGATGTGTAGAGTTGGAATTGCAAGAAGAAAAACACAAAGCATTTGTTTGCCGCAAGAAAGTGTGTATGTTACGTTCGATATTTAAATACAGTTTAACAATTATGCTTGGATATTTTTGAAAAATTGTCACATCATCATTGGACATAATGCATATAACAGGACAACATGTAGCTGAACAGTTTTTCTGTATTCTCAAAGTTCCTTAGAAAGTTGGAGGACATTATAGCTGAGGTAATCTTAATTGCTAGAGAATAATTAATACAGTTGAATCGATGCGAGGATTGTTTTATTTGTATTAATCCCATTACGGCATATTTTACAGTGATTTATTTGTATAAATAGACAGAAA